TAGCGGATACGTAGCGAAGCTCTTCTCATGGCCGCTGAGAGAGAGTCTCACAATATTTTCAGGCGAGCTTGAGGTTTAGGGCTTAGGAGCCAGTTCACACAGAGGCAGTGACTTAATTGTGAGCCGTCAATGAGATGGAGATGTGCATTGTATAAAAGACACACATTTATTTATAACTAACACTACAGTACCATACAACAGACATTACATGTGACATCAAGCAGACCACATAACAGAATAAAGCAAAACAATGAAATATGGAAATGCAGTGACCAGATTTAAAGTGTAACTTTAAAGGCGAAATGCTGTTCTGCAAAGCAAGCGCACAAACCACACACTCAAAATTATAAAACAGATTGACTAGCACACATTTGACTGTTGAAATGAATGGAAGTTGGTTTACTTGGTTGCAGAGGTGATGAGCTAAGGAAGCGATGGCATCCATCTGGAGCAGTTCTTTGTGTGGAGCCCCTTTGATTTTCTATCTTTGGTGAAGCTTTAAGGTGAAAGGCTTTGTCTTGGAGTTGGAGCTTTCTTCTGTGCAGCAGGCTTCAAGGCAGGCTTTACAGGTGGGCTTCACCCCTCTGAGTCTGAAGTGCCGGGTTTTATGGTCTAAAGTCCATAAATATTGATGATCAGGAACTCGATACCTGGACCAATGGCCTGGGCTGTCTACTGGCGACCTTTCGAGGGGGGGCTGTAGCAGTCATATTGGGATTTATGAATATAATGATGCCACATTGGGAAGATAGTGATGGGGAAGATGGTGGTGTTATCGTTCGGCAACCAGAGGGTTGCAGGTTCAAGCCCTGGTTCCTCCTGACCCCATCAAAGTGTCCTTGAGCAAGACACTGAACCCCAAATTGCTCCCGGTGTGCAGGTTGGTGCCTTGCATGGCAGCCTCTGCCACCAGTGTATGAATGTGAGTGTGGATGGTGAATGTGAGGCATGAATTGTGAAGTGCTTTGAGTACTTGAGTAGAAAAGCGCTATATAAATGCAGTTCATGTACTTTACAGTTGATTTTCATTAAAATTGTGTAACTTTAGATACGTACAATTTCACAACAATCACTGACCAGATCCTGGGAAACTGATGAGCATTTTCCCATCAGTTTGGCACCAAACATGCCAGACAAACCTAAAGGGTCATGCCTCATGCAATCTACATTAATTAATTAACAATCTCTTACACTATGCATGTTGATGACTCCCATCAGTACATAGAATGGGTGGTTATTGTTCCCCATCACCAGATTTTACAGTTTTACATAAGTTACATTCCAAATTCCCATTGGAACAGCAATTCTTAATCCTTGATAGATAGACTTAGGTGTGGCTGTTGGTTCACTGTAATCACGGTCACAATTAATCATTTGTACATTACAATTTGTGGTTGGCTTGGCTTATTTCAATGATCTGCTATCCAGGGTTAACAATACACAAATCTATTAATTCATTTAATATAAAAAGTAGAGGACAAAGAAAAGGGCCGGCTGACCAATTGTGGGATCAGGTAAGAAGGAATGTAGAGAATGCAGGGGGGTGTTAGACAAAGAAAAGGCTTCTTCTAATAGTTAGGAGACTCACTAAGATACTTAATTACTGTATTTAACTCTGCTATTTTCTCTGAGATCGCCGTGAGAGTATGTATGGGTAACTATACATACTATATCTTTATTCATATCTATATAATTGTTAAAGTGAGAAGGATAGAATAGGCAATAATCTGAGAGGCGTGTTTATAAGGGTGACACACAAAGCATTAAGTGATTAGTGGTCAGTGTTGACACAGCACACAACAATGAAATGTGTCCTCTGCATTTAACCTATATGTGACATCATGACATAGCAGGAGGCAGCTAATTCAGCACCTAGAGAGCAGTGGTTGGGGGTGGTACCTTGCTCAGAGTACTTCTGTGATACTTTGCTAGTTGGGGATTTGAACCAGCAATCTTTCAATTACAAATGTACATCCCTAAACATTAGGCCACCCACAGGACAAAATTCAATAGCACAGGTACACACAATATTCATTCACAAATCCACACACAAACCACATTAAAACACATACAAAACTAAAAAATATCTGTGAATAAGTTAGAGAATAAATTAGACATATTTATATATTGTTTTATATACTGGTAAATTCTACAATGGCAAAACATACAAGGACAACTGTGATCCTTTACACATTCAATACAAAAAAAAACCAAAAATTGCCAAATAGCAAAGTTTCACTGTATACAATTACATACATTGTTGACCTGGCCTAATCCATTCGGCCATAAATTTTCATCGACATCACACCAAATATTTTCTCTTGCAATACACCGACGAAAAAATCTCTTTGAGTGCCTTATCCAGCTGTGGATGTCCTCCACATGGACGTCCATACACCCAGCAGCCATTGCGTCTAAAAGCGGCATCTGATCATGTGGCCGATGGTCATATACCTTCCATCCCCATGCAGAAAAAAAATCTTCAGTGGGGTTGAAGAATGGAGAGTATGGTGGCAAGAATAATGACATCATCCAGGGATGGGCTATAAACCACTCTGTGACTTGGTGGGAGTGATGAAAGGCCACATTGTCCTACACAATCACAAATATGTAGTTTGGTTCATTGTAACTGTAATGCATCCCTGATGTGAATGTTACTTGTTTTGGTCCCTCACCTGCCAATGGGGGCCCAGCTCCTGATCCCTGTGTGTCCCTCATGCCCTGGAATTTCACAGAAGGCCTGACTGCAGCCCTTCACTCTGCCTTCATATGTGCTCATTGGGGTCACACTTATCCACTTACCTGGATGGAATCATACAGGCTGTTTGGCTCATTTGGTTCCCCTGTGCATGTGGCTTTATAGCTGTTTGGAAGCATGATTTAGGCTGAATAATGTCTCTCAGCTAAACACCCTCACTGACTTTTCATGACCCTTATTAATCTGCTTACTAACCTGTGTGGCTCTATGGGTTAGAACTTAACCGCAGGCTGATCCTGTTCTCTGATCCTTACTTACACGTTACTTTAGTTTAGACAAAAGCATCTGATAGACAAATTAACCACAAAATGTATTTGTTTTTTTCTTGTGTCTAACATTAATTAGGTTACTTGTTGACTGACTATTCTTACCTCATTTCAGGTTCTTTCATTGAGTTCTCAGCGAAATATTCCCCATCTCCAGCTGAAAAAGCAACATTTGGAGGAATGTTTGGTGGAATCATATTTATATTCATCTTTTTTGTTATATTCCAAAGTGAGTATGTTTATAAATGGATTTCAGGAGTACTGGACTAGAATTATACATAGAGATTTATTTTCTACAGAAATAAACAGAAATGTGTAACGATTTACATAATTTAAGTTTTTATAATGCAGTATCTGTTTTGTTCACTGTTAATCTGTATCCATGGGGCAGCACAGTGTCTCACTGGTCAACACTGCTGCCTGACACCTCCAGGCTGCTGGTTTGAGTCCCCCTCCTCTGTGTCTGTGTACAGTCTGCATGTGCTCCTCATGTCGTATTTCCACCAGTTACTCCAGTTTCCCCCAGCAGCCCACAGTCTCCCTCTCAGGTTAATTGGTGTCTGTAAGTTGCCCATAGCTTGTGACTGTGTGTGTATGGCCTCCCATCCAAGCTGTACCTCTGCCTTGTGCCCTGTGCTGCCTGGGAGAGTCTCCAGGCCCCCTGTGATCCTGCCCACTGCTGTTCCCATTAAAGCTGTATTTGTCTGGGTCAGTGGTAGGGCTGGGCGATATCATATCGATGTTATATCGCGCATTTTTTTACAGTGTACGCGAACAGGCAGAGGCCAGAGCAAAACGTGAGCAAGTTTTATATGGTTGTAGCATATCAAGTCTATAAAGTAAATTAAAGTATAAAAGCCTATAATGTAAATATTGGTAATCAAATAAATTCGTTTTGTCATTCAAAGTAGGTCTAATAGGATTTTTTTAGTTTCACGTAACGCTGTCAGTGAAATTTTGTTTTATAGAGATGCAGCAGCAGCATTAACAGAAAAAAATTCAGGAATTTAAAACGTGGATGCTTAGCCTGTATATTCTTTAGGCTATTAAGCCCACTAATTCCTTTATTTTTAAGCCTATTTTTGTGTGGAATGCCATTGCCAAACCTGTCCGTTGTTGCCTATATGTTGCTTAAAAATAAATATTTTCTGTGTGGCAATGATGCCGTTGCTCATATTTCTTTATGATATAAGGCTTCGGTTTAAGGTGACATTTGTTAGGCATGCAGATTATTTGTCCCTCTTTTAAATTGGAGGGAGCGTGGAGCAATTTGACTGGAGCGGGAGGAAATTTTAGTGGAGTGAGGAGCGGTGTTGAGCGGAGCGGCTTAGTGCGAATTAGAGCGGAGAAGCGGGCGGAGCCAACAGCCTCGTGAGCGAGGAGCAGAAATTCTCACCGCTCCACTCCGCTCACATGATCTGATGCAAAGCCTCATTAATATTTTAGCCATACTACTAAACTGCTTAAATTGTGGGTGTAAATAAATGTTCATATAGCACAGAAAAGCTGGCGCACGGCCAAATGTTGCGCCTGTCATCTGAAGCCCTAGTGATTATTGCGCATGCGCGATATAATATCGATACGATATCGCCAAGCCCTAGTCAGTGGGGGGGGGGGGGCTGGTCCTTTTTTAGCAGGGGCCCCTGATTAATCCTGTGTATTAAAGCCCCCCTGGTTACTTTTTATTACCCTATCTGTACCTTCAAATTAAGTTTTTTTTTACCACAGTGTCTGATATGGGATTTTACCCCTTATCCCCCAGCTGACAGGGATGTGCAGAGCAGCACCTTAAACACAGGACACTCAACACATTTGTTTTGTATTCTCTGTCTGAAATGAATTTTATCTTTGCTAACTGTTTTCTTCTCGTTTCAGTCGTCGGTGGTGTGGTTTGGACAAAATATTCAGAAGAGAGTGAAAAAGTAGAGAAAATACTTGACTATGTAGCAGGAATAAGTGGAATTTTATTCCTGGTCGTCGTGGTTTCATCCATAAGTAAGTCTGTATATAAGTTCCCATGTGTGCTGTTTGCATGTCCTCCCTGTGTTTGCACTGGTTCCCTCCATGCAGGGGCGTCATGCACCCTATTTTTGTGGGGGTGCAGCTTCATAGGCAACATGCACTCACTGGCCCCTTCGTTAGGTTCAGCTGTTCAACTGCTTGTTGAAGAAAATATCTAATCAGCCAATCATATGTCAGCAGCACATTGCATAAAATCATTCTGATACAGGTCTGGAGCTTCAAGTAATGTTCACATCACACAACAGAATGGGGAAGAAAGATGATTTATGTGACTTTGAACGTGGCATGGTTGCTGGTGCCAGATGTGCTGCTGTGAGTATTTCAGAAATTGATCTGCTGGGATTTTCACACGCAACCGTCATAGAGTTTACAGAAAATGGGCCAAAAAAGAAAAAACATCCAGTGAGTCGGTGGTTCTCTGGGTGAAAATCCCATGTCGGTTCTTGACAAACTGAAAAGGACCTTTTATTGCTACAAGAGGTGACTGGCAGAGTGATAATAGGCTGGTAGAGTGATAATAGGCTGGTAGAGTCATGTTAGGCTGGCAGAGTGATAATAGGCTGGTAGGCTTGCAGAAAGTTGTTTGCCACAAGAAATGTATGAAGGTCCAATAACAAATTTGGAGGACCTTGTCCCCATTGCTATTTATGTATGAACAGCTTGGGTGGTTGACACACCCCCTTTTAATACCCACACATCTGAAGGGGTTGGGGGATTTTCTTCTGTCTGGGGTTTGTGCGGCAGTCTGTCCACTTCAGAAGCTGCGAAGTGTCATGACTGAACATGTCTGTAATGCCCTGTATGCTGAACTTAATTACTAAAAAGATAACTCTTAGTTCCTCTTTGGGAGTAACTTTGGTCTGATTCTGCCTGATTTCATCTTGCTTCTTTAATACCTTTCTATACCTCTTCACCTCCCACTGAACATTGATCTATCAGGCTATAGTGTCTGTTTCCTTCCATATTTCCTCAAACATCCCCTCAGTCTGCAGCTAAGATAGCTCCAATCTGCAGTCACATACCAGTCCTACAGCTATGCCGATGTCCATATCTTCTCTTTGGAGATAGTTTGATAGGACACCAATAACTGTGAGGATTCTGCACCCAAAAGTCAATCAGTGGCCTTGCTTAGGGCTCATGCTGTACCTGAGGAGTCACAATCAAACTATTCCTTGTCTGGATCTGATACACAGTCACCACTACAGGAACGATGGACAGAGAAACATTGCAATTACTAATCCTGGAAGACCATCTTGTCACACTAAGAACATGCAGAGTTTTGTATTTTCCTGCCCCTGACTCTCTCACTACTTGTTGAACCTCAACAGAAAGGTCATGTCACTTCACAGAGCCTCTCATGAAGATAGAAACACCAAAGGAATTACATGAAGCTGAAGCACATGTCCACAACATCAAGGGTCAGTCTCTGGGCAAAGCAAAGCACTAAACAGGCCTTCTCATTGTTCTCCTGTATGACAGCTTGCACACCTCTGTAAATGGCTGACAGAGCAACACAGCCAGTGTAAATATAACCATGCCTCTTATATTGTTGGTATACAGGCCAAAGTTTATGTCTGGCTAAGACATTTGGCAAGACCAGCTCCAGTTGTGTCCTTTACCTGGAGTAAATCAAGAAAACACTCTTCAGTCTTTGCTGTTGTCATCTTATCATAAAATTACAGACAGCTGATCCCTTGTGTTTCAGGGCCAGTTCATACTAATGATACACTTACGGTCTGCACAGTGTGAGGCTGTAAATTTTATCATCGGGGTGTCTAGCAGACATTTTGCATGCCATTGCACATCACCTGTGCATGTGCAAGGAATTTGACTGGGTGTTTCCAGTAGGTGGTAAAAGGAGAAGAATATTTGTTGTAGTTATGGAGGCTTTCATTAAGTAAATGTGTGAGGAGGTGTGAAGTTACCCACAGACACATAACTCATCATTGAAGGAGGACAGAGACGTATTCTGGTGAAAGAATTTGTATAAACAGATCATCCAATCTATGTTGGCTGAGATGGAAATATATTGTTTGATATGTCCTGCACTACAAGAACATTGTATATAGTGCACTTTAGTGTTTTTGTGCATTTCTGTGTTTGTTATAAAGTTTGTGTCACATTACAGTTGTTTAACTAAGAAGTAGGCTTGGGCCATATTTCACTTTTCAAACCTCCACACAATATACTGCAGTATAAAATATTTTCAAAAGCAACACTATTCTGGCACTTTGAGATCTTGGCAATAAAATTCATTGTGGGGGAGGGAGTCCTGGCTAATTTGAATTTCAAAATTCCCCGTTACACTGTATTACCGTAATACCAGCCAAGCCTGGTAACTTTAAAACAGTGCATAGAAGTTTACCCATTTCACTACCAGTGGCGTAGCAGACGGGCCCGCAGGGCACGCACTGCGGGGGGGCCCCGCGTTGTGGGGGGCCCCCAAAAAATTTACTCGAATAAATAATTAAAGCGTTTTTATAACGTGAACGTATAGGACTTTTATTTTGGTAGTAATTGCAGCCTATCGTGTTTGCCGATTATGAATATCCGTTGTCCTTGTTATTCAATCACGATTAAGAATTTCCGCAACTGTTTAGAGAGTGAAGCTTATGAGCGCAAAATGAGTAAAAGAAAATATGTCAGCGGAGCTCAAAAACGGACTAATCAACACCGAAAAGAGCAATTCAATGCAAAACTACCGAAAATTTCATCCATATTTCTTCCAAATCAGCGGGAAGGAGCTGCGAGAGCGAGCACGGGTAACGTTACTCAGGAGTTTGCTAGCAGTGTCATCACGGACATTACTGCTTCTAAGGTGGGCGCGGGCGCGGCTGTGGTGAATGATACGCCAAACACGGACTCAGATGCTAAAACCAGATCACACGGTCCAGACGATGACTGTCACAGCATTTTAACAAGTTAATGTAATTGCTGTTTTATTGTTGGTGTTTCTTTTATTCTTTTTTTGTGAAAAGTTCTTAATAAATAAATACGAAATAATTACATACTACCCAGTAGGGTAAGCGGGTTGGACAATGGATGGATGGATAATTACATACTATTAAATTCCACAGTACTAATTCACGATTTTGAATGAAAAGGTGAATCCCCCATCTAATTATGCGGTGAAGGGCCCCACCTCCACTCTTGCGGGTGGGCCAACGCAGTTTGAGCTACGCCACTGTTCACTACATTGCATGTATTTGTGTTTGTTGCAGTACATCTGCCCTCTACTGGTCTGGGGGAATATCATTGATGTATGTATGTGCCGACTGTGACAGTCTGCATCCACAGACTAATGTAGCATGTACGCAACCATACGCAGACCATAATGGCACAAGGAAAAGTGGAGTATGAACTAGGCTTGAAGGCTCACAGAGAGATACTTGGCTTTGTTCACTTCCTCACTAACATCCTTCTACTATGTTTGGTTGAAGTAGCAGCAATTTCATCTCACTGCTGGTGTAGCAGGACATTCATGCATGTGACAAATAAAAATCTGAATCTTGACCTCATTCTTCACCAGTGTTGGGGTCAGCACTCAAAAAAGTAATGTATTTACTTAATTACTCCCCATGGAAAGTAATTAGTTACATTGCTCATCACATTACTTTTGCATTACTTCGCAGTGACGCATTGTTTTATTTAATTTCCAGTCACTAACAGCCTATATCACCAAACCTTATATATACCCGCATATCAGCTTCCCAGTTTTAATAAGGATGACATTTAGAAATTCTTTATTTTATGTTCTTTAATAAAGTAAAGAAAGGCAACAGAATGGGTTTAGAGGGGATTAAAACCAGTCAAAAGAGCACCTCACAGAACAAGACTCACTGCATGTTTCATGCATTTCAAACAGGCCAGTGAAGGCAGCACTGACATCAGGCTATAAGCCTCAAAATAAAACTATATCAATAAATAAAAAATAAATAAAATAAAAGTAATAAAAGAGGCTGGGCTTTGTAACACCACATAGTGTAAATATAAATTGCCCCAAAATAAAATATAAATAAATAAAACAGTAGGGTGACACGGTGATGCAGTAGTTAGCACTGTTGCCTCAGGCCTCTGGGACCAGGCTTTGAGTCTCTGCCATGGCTCCATGTGTGTGGAGTTTGCATGTCCTCCCGTGTCATTGTGGGGTTTCCCTCTCCCAGTCCACAAATATGCTGGAGCTGCCAAACTGCCCATAGTTGTGAATGGTGTGTGCAGGTGCCCTGCAATGGGTTGGCATCCCATCCTGGGTTGTTCCCTGTCCTGCACCCATATCCTCCAGGATCGGCTCTGGACCCCCTGCAGCCCTGAATAAGATAAGCAGTTACAGAAAATGGATGGATGGAAAATAATAGACTGGCTTTTTTCATTACAAAATAATTTAAATAGCAAATTTAAATGAGGAAAAACATTTAAATGGCAAACACACTGAATAAATTCAATAAAGTTGCTTATTTATCAGTGTTTATATCTCATTAGGAGGAGTCTCTCACGTTGTTTGTCACACAGTCTACTTCTCCTTGGAGTTAACACTAGATTGCCCAGCCTGAAAAGACTCTCCACTGGTCCACTAGATGGCGCAGCTGTGTTGAATTTCAATGATACGGCCTTTCCCTATCTCTGACCCCGACTTCAGATATTCAATGACTTCAGCCTCATAATGAAAACAGTCAAAGAATTTGTTTTCAATAGAACTGCTACTGGACGCAGATTAATTAGGCAGGTCAGACAGTGCATAATGCACGGGGCACAGAGGCAAAGGATGATCGCTGTGACAGTAATGGAAGGAACACAGTGAGGTACGCTGTCCACCGGCCAAAGGCCATACAGCCATTCCCAGGTGGCACTACCGTGTTCATCCCAGTGAAGCTGCCTCGCCTCCTCTGTCATGTGCTGTACAGCCAAAGAGATACTGCCATCATCATTGGCCAGGACATACGTGTAGCATTGGTCCTCTATCATAGCCCACACAC